AGGGCTCTTGTTGATTTGCTGGCCCGCCTTCACTTAGGGCGGGCACGAGGCTTGCTGGGGCCTTAGCCCAGAACATGTACATCATGGCAAGGCCCCTTCTTGAGGGCTCAATCCTCACATTCCATCCCCCTTAGCTTCGAAAGTCCGCTGAGATGCTACTTCGCAGGTGCCTTCCCTTTCAGCATCCTCTCATATTCTGCTACCACCTAAGGAGCTGTGTCAATCAGTTCCTCTCTGGTGAACCACAGGTCTTCTTTTGGATCCGTATGATGCCTGAATCTAACGCGATATTCTCTCTTGGGTTTAGGAGGTCTTCCTCTACCCAAAGGCTTCTGAACAGGCAGAACTTTGTGATCCACAATATCGTCGATGTCCACTTGACCATCCATGGTTGGGGGCAGCATCGATCTCCTTGAAGGGAATTGATCAGTCTCAGCGAAAGGTGCAAGCTTTGAGGCATGAAAGACAAGGTGAGTGTGTAGGTGTCCAGGGATACGGATAACATAGGTAGGACCATCCATCTCATCCCCCACTACATCCAGGACTTCCCAAGGACCAAAGTACTGAGGCATTAGTTTTCTAGAGATACCGAATTCCTGTCCTAGCTCACTAGCCTTGACCCAGACACGTTCCCCTACCTGAAATGAGGACTATCGTCGATGCTTGTTCTCAGAAGCAATCATTGCTTGCTGAACTTTCTTAATATGCTTGACAACTTGCTGCAGCAACTTCTTATACTGCACACCATACTCAAGTGTGCCTGGAGTTGCGGAGGATCGGTTTTCAGGTAGGAGGAAGTCTAGAGCAGATCTAGGCTTCCATCCCAAGTGCAGCTCGTTTGGACTAACGTCGGTACTGCTGTGTACAATGTTATTGTACAGGCTGGCGATGAGAGGTAACTTCTCATCCCAGTCATCCTGGCTAGGCTTGATGTAATGCCTCAGCAGGTGCTGTAATGCCTCAGCAGGTGCTGTACAACTCTGTTCATCTGCTCAGCCTGTCCATTGGCTTCGGGATGATTCCTTGAAGTCATCTGAAGTTGACTGCCCATCTGCTCAGCAGTCTTCTTCCACAGCTCACTTGTGAAACGGACATCTCTGTCACTAACGATTGTCTTTGGTAAACCAAAGTCACCCACCCAATTGTCCTGGAACAACTTGATGACATGGTCCGTCCTTGCGGTCTCTGGCATGGCAACTAGTCTAGCGTACTTGGTGAATCGATCAATGATGATGAAGATGTGCCTCTTGCCACTCTTGCTGGTCACCAGGGTATCCATGAAATCCATGGAAACACTCTGTCTTGGACCAGCGGGGATTGGTAAGGGCTTCATCAACCCAAGCGGTGCTTGAGTTCGCGGCTTGTCCCGCTGACAAACCTGACAGGTCTCTACATACTTCTTCGCGTCATCTAGCATTCCAGGCCACCAAAATCGTTGTACTAGATTAACACTCGTCTTTTTGTAACCAAAGTGCCTGGTTGCGTCATGGCATTCTCCTAAAAACAAACTACGCAAACGTTCATTAGATGGAACTATTAGCCTTTTAACACCGGCCTTATCAAGATAGAGTAGACCGTCCACCATCACAAACTCACTTTCCGTGGCCTTGTCTTTTGCCTGAAGTTTGCGCATGATGTCCATCGTGACAGGGTCTTCCTGATAGGCTCCCACCAATGATTGAGTTACTTCTTCAGATACACCAAAGTCAGAAACTTGCGCACCTAGGTAGTCTACCCTACGTAATAGCGCGTCTGCAACCTTGTTGTACTCTCCCTTCAGATACTTAAGCTTGAAGTCATATTGGTCTATGACTTCAATCCATCGCTTGAGTGCGTCAGAAAGAGCCGGATGAGTCTTGATCCATTTGAGGGTATGATGATCAGTCCTCAAGTAGAAGAACCTTCCCAATAGGAAGTGTCTCCAATGGACAAGTGCCTTGTAGAGAGCATAGAGTTCCCTTTCGTAGGTGGACTTTGCCAGTTTCTTCGATGGCATCTTCTTACTCATGTACTCAAGCGGTCTCAACTTTTTCCCATCCTGTTGAGCCAGCACCGCGCCAATGCCGTATTGGCTTGCGTCAGTGGTCACTATGAATGGCTTCTGAGGATCGAGAACCATGAAAACTTCATGATTCATGAGTGCATGCTTCAATCGCTTGAAAGCACCCTCGCACTCATCACTCCAGTCTTACGGCGTGTCAAGTCGAGTTAGATTTGTCAAAGGAGAGGCGACTGTAGAATAGTTCTTTACGAAGTTCCTATATTAGCCGCACATTCCTAAGAAAGATCTGACCTCAGTGAGTGTTTGATGTCGTGGCCAGTCTCGAATACTAGCCACCTTCGCATCTTCCGGCCTAATCCCTTCCGCGGATACTTCATGACCCAAGTATAATATCTTAGTGCGACCAAACTCACACTTCTCTAGGTTGACCTTATACTTGTGTTGTCGCAGGAGTGAACGTACAGTCTCAACGTGCTGTGCATGCTCCTCGGCAGACTTACTAAAGATCAGAATGTCGTCAAGGTATACCACGACAAACTTATCTAAATGGTCATGGAAGATCCGATTCATAGCGTGCTGGAATGTTCCCGACGCATTGCAAAGACCAAAGGGCATCACTACAAACTCATACAGACCATATCGAGTCTGAAAAGTTGTCTTGTGTTGGTCCTCAGGTCTTATAGCGATCTGATGATAGCCGGATTTCAAGTCTATCTTGCTATAGTACTTGCATCCCTGCACCCTATCCAGTAGGTCGTCTATGCGGGGTAAAGGCTCTGTGTTCTTCACTGTGATGGCATTGCGGCCTCCATAGTCAATGCACATCCTCAATGTACCCCCCTTCTTTGGTACAAATAATACTGGCGATCCGTAAGGGGAAGTACTAGGCCAGATCCATCCCTTCTTTGTCGGCTCTTTCAGTTGTCGCCGAAGTTCATCTAACTCGGCGGGAGCCATCCTATAGATCCTTTCCTTTGGGGTTTTACTCCCTGGAATGATTTCTATAGCGTGGACAACTTCCCTTTCTACGACCCCTGTGGGCTCCTCGAACAGATCAGGGAACTTAGCAACGACGCGTTCTATCTCTGGGGGTGTTTTAATGGCCTCCCCTTTCTTAGAGACATACACAAGGTACATACCTTCCTCTTGGTTCTGTTTGTAATAGTTGTAGAATGCTGATGCGCACAAGCAACCATAGGTATCTATAATGCTACTGGCTTTGAACTTAGTCAATCTGACTGTCCTGCCATCGGGCAACTTATGCTTTAGCACCTTCTTATCCCAGTCGAACTGGGGCTTAGCAACCTCAAGGTAGTACATGCCTAACAACATGTCGAATGGTAAGTCGTCGCTAACCAAGAACGAAATCTTATGATTAAGTTTTCCTCCTCCAGAGGAGAAGGTACAAACTACGTCCTTGATTTCCAAACAGTCGCGACTTATGTAATTCCGCGTGGAGCCTATGTCTATGAAGGCACCACATTTGCGGCCTCCTACATCGACTTCCACCACGAAATGTTCCCCTCTAGGACCTTTCCTTAGCGCCACCCAAGATTCGCGAGGGTCCTTGTTTGACCACTCACTTTCCAGATCTTCTAAGGCTTCAGACACATTCAACGTACAGAGCATAGTTTGGTCAGGATGAGTCTGCGGGGTGCCTAAAGAGTCATTAGCTATGGCCTGCTCATGAAGTGGGGAGGGTATCAGACCCACTTCAACTTGAGTAGAAGCAGCTAAAACTTCCACCGGCCTCACATGTTTCCCGAGCTAGAAGCCTGGGAAGAAGATGCCCCCATCTTAGGAGGTATCTTCTGTGTGACCTTTGCGTTCTGGCACTTGTACTGGGTGTGTCCGTATTCACCACAGCTTATACAAGCGCCACGCACTCGGCGGTCCCGCCACACGTCTTGATCAAGACCTGTCGTGACCCAATCAGCCACTTTGGTCTGATTGGAGGCGGCCTTCCCTTGACTCTTTGGTGGGCCCTTCACTCGGCCACCAGCCTTAGCCTTGACTACTGCGGCGAGGGTGCTACCCTCAGCGGTCTTCTCGCCGTCGTACTCTGAACCGTCCAACAGGTTTGTGAGCTTATCAATTTCTGTTTGAGTCCCATCGGACTCAACCAGCATCAACTTCGCCCCCTTCTTCTTCCATTCCTGCGGACTCTTCTTCTTCCTCGCATCATTCTGAGAGGGTTGAGTATTTCCGAGTGTAGTCTCTAAGTCTAAGGCTTTTCTAAACAACGTCTTAAACGAATGGTACTCGAGGCGAGCCTCGCTGGCCAGCAAGTTCCTGAGGTTCTCTGGAAGACATCTAACAAACGTAGTCAACATGAACTGGTCACTATAGTTGATGCCTGGAATGACGATAAGGCTCTCTATGGTAGTCGTAAGCTCTCTGACTGACTTAAACTTTCTTTGATCTAGTCTGTTTATCGCATCAGTGGCTATTTGTGCCTGCTGAGGATTGTGCCAGCGAGCTTCTACCATCTCAAAGAACTGGTCTAACGTAATAGACTGAGCCCAGTCCGCCATACGTCGTCCATACCCAGCCTTTGCAACTATACCATCTAGCCATTTGGCCGTCTTACCTTCGAGGTAAGATGCCGCAGTATCCACTTCGTCCTCTGGCAAGGTCCTCTTCGCCTTCACCCAAACCGGAACTGTTCTCAACCATGTGTTGAGTTCTTCGTCCTTCCTCTCGCCTGAGAAGGCAAGAGGCGGTTTCATTGGGGTCTTAGGGTACCATTGACCTTGTGGCTGTCCCTGTTGAGGAACAGGTTGTTGCGGTGGTGTAGCACCCACCGCTGGACCCGAAGAAGAAGAAGCAACAGTTTGTGCAGCTGCTGCAGACGTGCCACTTGGTTGTGTGCCAGCTTGAACTGGAAAGGGGCCAAACATCGCCGTTAACGGCAACGGCGACTGTGCTGGTGGCCGAAATCCTGGCCTTTGCAAAATGTCCAGGATCTGGTCTAGGGTGTTCTGCATGAAGTCCAATCTGTTGTCCACGTGCGCATGCAACGACAACATATTGTTCTTCAAGACTTTCATTTGGTCAGACAAAACTGACTCATCCAACTCAGCCTTGTCTGCCTCTAACGTTTCAAGCCTGGCTGCTCTTTGTTTGATCTTGTTCTCTCTGTCGGTTGCTTGCTTCAGTTCCCTCTCTAACTTCAGGCGGATCCTCTCGACTTGTTGGAGCTCTAAAAGTTCCCTGCCTCGTGGGGTCAATGGGCTAAACTGCGAGCCCGCCATTTGACTTGTGGACTGACTAGAACTTACTGCCCGGGAAGTACCCTGAGGCATTCCCAACTGGGTCCTATTGGTCCCTGAAGAGGACGCAGATGAGGATGCAGATGATGACACAACAGAGCTTGTGCCGTTAGCCATTGCTACTGCCCTGGTAGCGGCTGCCTGCTCTCTAGCTGCTGCGTTTGCTGCTGCTATACCTGCTGCTAGCGTACGGGCTCTACGTTCGGCACGAAGCCGTGCTTCGTCTCCCAGTTGTAAGGCCTGGTACACGTGCGGGACCCTTATTGCTCCCGAACGTGTAAGTCTCACATTGTCAACTCTACCCTCATCGGTGTTTGACCCACTCATCAGTTAGTCAGACAGTATCTGCACTACAACCCCCAATTGGAGTTCTACCGCAGCATGTGTCTGACCGGCACCTAATTTTCTAAAAATAGTTGTGTCCGGCAGGTCCCCTACTTTACCGATCAAATGGCAGCGTACAACATTCACAACGAATTGTCAACATAGTCTAGGTGTACTTTGATTAGTTCACTTACAGCAGCATTAGATAGAACTGGCTATGGTAGTCTACAACAGTCCTACTCTAATCTGTCTGTGAGGTATTAGCAGTTGTCAACCAACTAATCAAAATAAACAAGGATCATGTTGCAGATGTATGATGAGTGGGTATGGTTGTGTTTCCAGTTGAGCATCAATTAGAATCTACCCTCCCCTCAATCCAACATACCGAACAACATCATTGAGCAGCGGTGTCTTCGTGTGTATGTCGGCCCACCCCTGTGCCCAAGTCGTTACCGAGCAAGCCAGCCAGTCCACTCTTATTTACCCTCGTACGGAACGAGCCTTACACCCGGTTGATCTGGCTGATCAGGAGGAATATTGAGAGCACCCCCATCTCTTCAGGAATTATTTAACGTCGCAGTCAGGACGACGATCACAGCCAGAATCAACCAAGTCCCCAACCAGAAATGTTTATAGACGGTATGGTAAGCGTCTCATAAAAGGCTGGCACACCCGGCAGGACTTCTATTCAGCGCAGCAAGTGCCAAAATGGACAGCAGCCATCGCATGCGTGACCTACTCCCGTTGGGTTGGCATGGTGACCGTGACCCAGTGCTTCGACCAGGGCCCTTCAGAGGCACCGCCCTTTCTCCTTCCAGATGCTTCCGGGAAGATTGTCGTCTCTCGAGGTAGCGCGCTCACGACACCTCACCAAAAGAGAGGACTCTCAAGTTGGACTCACTTCCTCACGGTAAGAAGAGATTGAGAGAGTAGATAAGGTANCCGATGCAGGACGGAAATCAATAGCCTAGGATTAATACAATTGATATAAAGATGATTATTGGCCTGAATAGTACTATTTCTCGAGCTCGAAATTTCGCTAAGTGCAGGTGTGTACGGTAGTCCCAATGTTCTTTTTCCGTGGAAACCCTGGCTATTTGCTAACCGGTCAGTACCCACACTATTGGGAAGAGGAAATTAGCGCGCCGTTGGAGTAGCGGGCAGAAAGCACCAGGTTGTTATGCTGCGAATTTTGAATTCGAATTTCACGGGCCATACCGCTGATACGTAACTGACTGATGCAGTAGACGAGGACAAGCGTGTGTGACTACGCCTGTAGATAGAGGATCAGTATATCTAGAGGGCAAGGCCGTCGGCCCTCTATTCTCAAACTGGTCGGAATGTCGGGTGGTGCCATAAGGCGGATCTGGGGAGAAGCCCCCTGAGGAGTGCCACGTGCGCAGCCTGGCCAAAATGCCTGGGGGGATTTGCGCGTTTTCAACTGAGAACTGTACATGCGGAGAAGTATTGAAATATCTTGTTGATGCATGTGCAAGAAGCAGTCTATGGCCACTGTTCTTCACTATTCTGTGAAACGTAATAACCGGATGAGAAGTGGTACTCACACTGGGGGCTATGTCGACAGTTTGTTGTGTTCCCTCATCAGAAAGGCTCAGGAAGAAGAGGAAAGGAAGAAGCGGAGGAGGGTAAACAGAAGCTAGAGGCCGAACGAAGGAAGGCACAGATTGAGCAGGAGCAGAGAGAAGAACAACTGAGAAGACTGATTGCAGACACGGAGAGAAGGTGTGTACAAGAGACTGAGAGAGTGAAGCGACTGGCAGACGAGGCAGAGATGAGGACTATAGCAACCGTGGCAAGAGACCTGTGCAAGGAACATGAATATGGACGAAGCACAGAAATCCAGATTGCAAAATCACACTGAAGTCCAAGTAGTCAAACCAAGAGCAGATAGCACAATGGAACCGAGTAACCATCCAHTTGAGAATGATACAGAAGAATCGTGAGTCAATGTCCAAGCCCAACAGGGCAACACCAACAGCATAACCCAATGTAGCTCTCTCTCTTGAATGGCGCCAGGCGCCCTACCTACTCTACAGCCTATACACTACAACTACAGAATGAAAGCAACCAGACAACTTGACGACCAGCGAGTGATGATGTCAACACCAATGCCGACCTCCACCTCCACCAGGTACGTCTCTCTCTTCACCCACACTCTCCCTTGTTATCCCACACAGYGCCCTTCACCTCCGAAGAACCACCTTCGCCCTCACCTCCCCTGCGCCCTCAGGCAGCCCGGCTATGGCCGYCAGSSCYCTGCGCACACAGGCAGCGCCCTACCGCTTTAGCGCTAGCCTGCTCCCTCAGCCTTAGCGCAGCACAGCAGCTCGCGTTCGCGCAGCATGCCGGCAATGCCCGCAATGGCCAAGATGCTTGCCCACTCGCCCTGCTTGCCTATATGCCAGTGTTGTGTGTGGGCAGCCTCCCTTCAGCCTGCGACTGGGCCCCAGTCGCTGAACCCAGGCCCGATGCAGTTGAGGCCCGGGGGATGTAGTTGCACCTCTTTCGTCAAGGCCTGCGGCCAGATTCAGATAGTGGGCCGATTTCCCTTTGGCATTTTCCGCCTCTATACCCAGCATGCATTGTCGCACTCACGTTCAAGTGCCCATGGCCTAACTAACTCAGAGGCCCTGGGTTTTCCACATTTGCTGAGATCCGAGACTCGGTGCACTCCAACCAACTGGCGTGCTGCAACTGTATGGACCCCACTTCGTGAAATGTTTGCACAGAGGGCTCTTGTTGATTTGCTGGCCCGCCTTCACTTAGGGCGGGCACAAGGCTTGCTGGGGCCTTAGCCCAGAGCATGTACATCATGGCAAGGCCCCTTCTTGAGGTCTCAATCCTCACACCTGCGAGCTTTCAAGGCAGAGATCAGGACTGAAGTGAAAATGACGCTGGCAACGAATACAAAGACGCCGAAGAGAGATAGAAATATGTTTGAAAACGGCCTTGAGTCTTACCTCAGAGATGAGGATGCCCTCATGGACGATGGTAAGAAGCTACCACCACGAAAAAACAGAGGGAAGAGAGCAATGCGAAGATTCGGAGAGGCGGACGAGTACGAAGAAGAAATGAGAGTACAAACGAGGGAGGAATACGAGGCAAACTAGAGAAAAAAGGCGCATACTCCACAGCCGACCTACTTCGCTGCTTGTGAAGCACCATCCTGTGGCAAAGGTGGGATCGTGCAGGAGGTATTGGAGGCTCGGGAGAAGTTGATGAGGAAAGACTTCCGTGAAGTGAAGAAGATCTGCGAGGAGAGAGACATCACGTATGTTACGAAGGAACAAGCGGTTCGGGAGTTGGTTAACCGCATGGTGTTATCCGGCAACTGTTGCGAGATCGGATTGGAAGAGTTACCTACCGGAGTCGACCAACCGGAAGAAGAGTTTTCTCAATGATGGTGTCCGCCCCTAGATAGGCAGACCTGGGACACCATCGCAGGCCTCCTCAAGCTTAGAAATGCTATCTGGGGGCATACTGGGCTTTCAAAAACTCAGAATGAATCTTGAGCGAGCGCTTGCAGCTTGTACGGTATTGCTCACGCTTTGTGGGCAGATACCGTGGGCGAGGAAGCTTATTAACTTAGTCCCTTACAACGGGGACTGGTTTAACATGAAGCTACCTGTCGTTTACTGCTTAGTATCGCCGTGGTGTAAGAAGACTTACATTGGTAGGACAGTTAGAGGTGCTGTTGAAAGGTGGTGGGAGCATATTAGATGCTCTGAGAACCAAGGTGGAAGCAAAGCGCCGTTGCTCTATAACTGGTTAGGGAAGTTTGGCTGGAGTAAGTATGATGTCATTCCAATTGTGCCGTCAGACGTCGGAGGCTTGGCAGATTTGGAGAAAACGCTGATCAAGCGTTTCTCGTCGGCCCTAAACAGTATTGGTACACGGAGGATTGTGAAGACCAAGAAGAGGTCAGGCAGGGGAGAGCGGAAGGCCAGAGAATGGATGCCGACTATGCAGAAAAGGCAGTCAAGGATATTGCTGTTTCGTCCGCAGCATTGTTTAGCGGGAAATACTAGCTTGAAATTTATTCTTGAGGCAGCCCGTATGGAGGGTAGAAAGGGAGTGCATTGGTACGGTGACGGTGGGGATATCTGGGGAGAAGATTGGGCATTGGTGAAAAGAATGTACGGGGTGTCGACTGTTATCCTAGTAGATGGTAAGATTTTGCTTGCCCAGGCTAAGCGAAAGTTACGAAGCTGGAGGACACTTCTGGGTGTCGCCCATTGTACTGACCCAGAATGCTAAGGAGAGAGGTACTGACCCAGAATGCTAAGGAGAGAGGTACTGACCCAGAATGCTAAGGAGAGAGGGAAAGGGTATCTGTGCCAGCTACTGGAGATGCCATGTAAACGCAAGGAGCTGTCGGGGATGACTGTAGATAAACTGATGCATTTGTACGGCATTGCTGGTACTTTCAAGACGAAAAGTACTAGGAAGACTGTGAAGGAATTTGTAGCTAATGCTGTCGAAGAAAGCGTGTGTAAATATCAGGAGGAAGATAACAGTCGAAGTAAGGTATAGTATGGAGATTAAGGGGCGAGAGGTCAAACACGTATTGTTAAGCAAAATTAGCAGTTGTGAATTACACCCTGCTATTGCAGGAGTGTTAG